GAACTTGCCACAGCTCCGTGACTCCGAGGACTCCGCCGCCACTACCACCAGAAGGGTTGTGAGCGCAACGTTTCTGTTTCACGTGGTGCTCGTTGAAGTTGCAACGACGCGGATAGACGGATGGGCGGCGGTCGGGCTTCATCGCGGCAAGAGATATTCGAGGGGTGAGGGGGAGAGGGAGGAGAGGGAACTGACATTAAACACTCCGCCCGTTTTTACACGGACGAGAAAGATTACTCGGTTAAACCGGTGCTCGGTATTTAATTGCAGTTCTGCAACTGTCGCTGCTAAGTTTACACCCTCGAGCTAGACGTGGATTGGGAAGAGGTTAGGTTGTTTCTTTTCTTTTTGTGGTACAGTTGAAGAGGGATGGGATCGATATTATATTAGTAAAATTGTGATCTTGATGTTCAATCATTTTGAGATCTGATGTTGCAATCGTTTATGTGGAGTTCGATATATTTGGTTTTAGGAAAGAAACGATCAAATAATTAAAAAGTAAGTTGGATATTATTTTTCGATTGAAGATTCAGTTTATATCAGATTCTTCGAAATTATTAAATTTTTGTTGGCTATATTAAATTTGAAGACAAGTATTTATATATGATAAAAGTAGAATCGTTAGAATTTCTTAATTCCTTATTTTCGTCATTTCGAAAATAATTTTTCAAAGGAAAATTTAGTTACTTTTCGGTTACACGTATATACAAGATTCGTATCAGAGGTAATTAAATTTGACGAGGTATATCTGATATATAGGAGTTCGATACTATTTGGAACTGTACGCGACCCAATTTGGGTTATCTTCGTCACGTGTCATCTTAATTCCCTCTGATCTATTCTAATCCTTCCAGAGATGCTGCTTGGATCGTACCAATCTGTTAATCTCGACAAGTCGAAAAACACGATACGGCTTCCTAGAAATCGAATCGAATCTCTACTATCGATTTAAAAAAAAAGAAGATTATCGCGAATTTTCGAATACGATCTCGAATATTAACAGAAGAAAGAGACGAAGAAAATCAAATCGAAGGAATCAGAAACAGCTAGAGTCGAACTCTACATTTATCATCGAGCTGAAGAACAAAGAAGAGCAAAAGAAAGAAAGTTAATCATCGAAAGTGCATATCATTACAAGATTCTTCGTTAATTCCATTAATAGATAGAGGAGGGGGGATGCTCGTTTGAAGTCGTTACATCAACCGACTGTGGACGAAGCATCGACTGGATGGTCCCTGGACAAGCGTATTTAAGCGGATACGCGGAAATAATGCATGGGAACGGTGCGCGAGGCAGAAATTCTGTGGAGCTTGGTCATGAAATATATTCTCCGAGTGGCAGACCATTCCATTGTCTAAATTATTCATGGCTTGTGGGACACTTTCCTAAAATTAGCATGCCCGCCCCATAATGTTAATGAATTTTTCAAAATAGGGAGGGAGAAAGAGCGGAATGGAACTAATTTCGAGACGCAGGGAGGGGTGGTTACACGCAGGCGCGAGTAATTACAGCATCCCCATGACGCCACCATGGAAGGGAGATGGATATAAACTTTACGAGATTTCTTAAGATTAACTCGAACTTTTCATCAAGGATCTGATGATGTTTCCGTATTGGTCGGTTAATAATTAACCGGCATTGTTCCAGAGGATTTCGTTCGGGGATATAAAGGGGATCCCTTTCTCATTTTATGGCTTTCACGGCAGCGGGGAAATGGTAAGGTAGCGTCGCTGATTAAAAGGTGTAAAAATGTATGTACCCATTTGTGCCCCCCTCGCAAAGAAGCGATGAAAGTTTGATTATCAAAAATTACGATTTTACTTAGGATAATATATAAAAAAAAAAAGGAATAAAACGGACGAATGAGAGATTCCAATGTGCAAATAGAATGGAACGAAACGACCGAAAAACCTCGCCTCGAATTTTTCAGATTTAATAACTGCCAAATACATATAATTTCCGAAGGGAAATTAATTTTTTAGTCGCCGTAAGAACCCGTTTATTAAATATCTACGATATTTATTCAATAT